GTGATCACCCACGGCGGCTCCCCCTTGGGGTGCTGAAGCCAGCGCCTCGCCTGAGACATCCAACCACTCTGCTTTGAAAGCAGAGGAATCTGGACGCGAAGGAGGGAGTATCATACCAACCAGGGGCATCTCCACAGCCTGTGCGCGAGCTAGCCCGTGAGATACACCCTGGCGCTCCCCTTCTGGGGTGCTGAAGCATGCGCATAGAACGATACATCCTCACAATCTGCTCCATGGCGGCTCGCGGCTCCCCCTTGGGGTGCTGAAACCAGCGCCTCGCTCGAGACATCCTCAACATCTGCTCTGAAACCAAAGGAGACTGGGGGGCCGGAACAAGCAAACCGCCAGAGATATCTCCACAATCTGGGCGCGAAGAATGGAATACCCTCTGGCGGCTCTCCCTGGAGGTGCTGAAGCCAGCGCCTCGCTCGGGACATCTTCACAGTCTGCCCTGAAAACAGAGAAGTCTGGTGGGCCGAAACAAGCAAACCACCTGAGGCATCCCCATAATTTGGACGCGAAGAATGGAATGTCATACCCCTGGCGGCTCCCACTTGAGGTGCTGAAGCCAGCGCCTCGCTCATGACTTCCTCACAATCTGCTCTCAACGCAGAGGATGCTGGGGGGGTGAAACAAGCAGGCCGCCTGACACATCCCCACAGTCGGCACGCGAAGTATGGAGTGTCATACCCCCTGGCGCCTTCCCAATTGGAGTGCCCGAGTGCCGCGCCTGCTAGATCGCGGTTAGCGTCGGACCACCGAAAGATAGGAACCTGGGGGGCCGAAACAAGGACACCGACTGAGAGATCCCCAGCCTGGACGTGAACAATGGAAAATCATACCCTCTGGCGGCTCCCCCATTTGGGTGCTGAAACCACCGCGTCGCTGGAGACCTCATCACAACCTGCGAGTCTGAGTGCGATTGCGTCGCAAGACTGAGTGCGAATGGAACTGAGTGAGTCTGTGTGCGAGTGGGTCAGATTGTGTGAGTGAGTCTGAGTGTGGGTGAGTCTGAGTGTGAGTGAGTCGGAGTGTGAGTGAGCCTGAGTGTGAGTGAGTCTGCGTGTGCGTTAGTCCGAGTTTGAATAAATCTGAAAGTAAGTAAATCTGAACATGAGCGAGTCTCAGTGAGAGTTCGTCTGTTTGAGTGAGTCTCAGCGTGAGTGAGTCTGAGTGTGAGTGATGCGTGGACCAAAATGAGAATGAGTCTGAGGGTGAGTGAGTCTGGGCGTAGATGAGTCTGAGTGTGAGCGAGTCTGGATATGAGTACGAGTGTGTATGAGTATGGAGGGGGAGGAGGAAGGAGGAGAGGAGGTGGAGGAGAGGAGGTCCAGAGGCGTGTAAGTAATGACAAGAACCCCATCTCAGGATATGGAAATAATACCAAGAACTTGCAAACAACGCTAAACCATGCGAAATAATGCCAAGCAGCGCAAGCAATGGCAAACAATGGAAGCAATGCCGAGTAACGTAAAGCAATACCAAGCAATGCCGATCACTGCATTCAATACCAAGCAATACAAACAATGCCAAGCAGTGCCAAGCACTGCTAAGCAACGCCAAGCAACGCCAAACAATGCAAAGTACTGCGATGCCAGGGAAGGCTACGCAAAGCCAAGCAACGCTAAGCAATGCCAAATAGTGCCAAGCAATGCCACTTGGTGACCGTTCCCTCAGACGGGGCGCGCTGGCATTATTTTTCGATTCTGCCAGTCCGCCGCAAGCGCCGCTTTCTCTTCAAAGCACACTGAGTGGGTCGCGGGACGGGGCGTCGGCGGGCCGCGAGGCTCGAACGTCACGAAGCCCGCCGCAGGCGCTGTCTTGTTCGTGTCTGCACAAACGCCCCGACGCAGGCAGCGATTTGTTTCGACCCAATATGGATGGGTTGCGAGCGCGGGTCGCGGGCGTAGGTCCTGGGTTGGTCTCGAGTGGATCGCGGGTGGGTCGCAGGAGGATCGCGGGAAGGTAGCGGGTGAGTCGCGGGGCGGGTCACAATAGCGACGACAACAACAACACCACCAACAACAACACCACCACCAACAACAATAACAACAACAATCATTTCAAGACTGTTCGCCCTTATCTGCTCGAATGTCCAATAACGCGTATTTCCCAAACCCTCGATACCCGCCCTCGTCGTCTTCGATCGAACCCCTTATGGGGGGTATACCTTTCTTTTCGGCGTGGATTAATGGGGGGGTCACAAATGGGGGGGTCAGAAAAGGTCCCCTTTCGTGCCCCTTTCGGGCCCCTCCAGAGCCCCAGGGGGGCTCGTTTAGGTACCGTTTGGGTACCTTTTCGGACCACGCTCGCCACCCCCCCATTTATGACCCCCCCATTACGCGGCGCCCAATTCTTCCCTGCAGGCCGGGCCCCGGCAAGCGGCGGGGCGGCCGCGGACCGTCGGCCTGGCCAGCGGCAGCGCTGATCGGCGGGGCGGCCGCGGACCGTCGACCCGACCCCAAGAGGGACGGACAGGGGACCGACCGACGACGACGACGACGACGACGACGACGACGACGACGTCGAAGACGACGGCGACGACGGCGACGACGAGCGAAAGCGAGAGCGAGAGAGAACGACAGTAGGGCCACGAAGGGTACGAAGTAGGCCACGAAGGGCGACAGCGGGGACACGAAGGGAATGCGTATGGGACCACGAAGAGTGCGAACGAGCGGGGGCCACGAAGTGCAGATAATGCGGGGCCACAGAAGGCAACTATGGGGCCACTGAGGGTAGCAACTGGGCCACGTAGGACAATAAGGGGGACACAAATGGCGACAGCGGGGCCACAAAGGGCATGCACATGGGGCCACAACGGGCGCGACTCCTGGGTGCCTGGGTGTCGGGAGCGCGGCGCTTGGGCAAATTGCAGGAAATTCCAACGCAAGGCTATTCTTCAGTAAGTCGAAAGCAAATCTCCAGCGAGAGCGCGACTCCAGAGCTCCGAAAAAAATGTTGTAAGGAAGTCCCAAGCGAGAGGGCGATTCCTGAATAAAATGCGAGGAAGTCTCGGGCGGGAGCGGGGGTCCTGCTTAAATTGTAAGGAAGTCTCAGGCGGGAGCCGTTGTTGTTGTAACCCGGGGGCCAGGGGGCCAGTTTAAGCAGGAAGACTTTCCCTGTCAAAAAACCGGGTGCGAGCGTCGAGGGGCACACTTTGATTGAGAAACAGCAGCATGCACCGGTGAGGGGGGATCAACAATAATTATTCTTCAGAAATGAGAATTCAACAGCAACAACAACAACAACAAGGCAACAGCAACAGCAACGACAAAGCACTACAATAACCGGCACCGCCGAACCTCACTTCAGCCACGCACCCAGGGACGGTGCCCCACTCACCATGACAATAGCGAAGAGACAATCCCCCGTGGCTGTTGCGGTTGCTGCAATCCGTTCCCAGACCCGCACCATCTTGGGCTCGCTCCTTATCCCATGTGCTCCTCATCATCTGGGGACCTGCTCAGGAGGGGGGGGGGACATCGAGCTGGAATCGGCGATACATCGCCGATAGATCGGCGACAGGCCCCCGACAGCGACACTGTACGTCCCTGGGTGGTGCAGGGGTATCAGGCACCTATCGGCGATCAATGGGCGAGTGGAGGTCGATGCATCCACATCCCCCCCTGAGCCTATCGCCCCTGACGTTCCCCCTTGGGCTTTCAATGTTCGGGTCATAGCTCGGCTCTCCGGCGGCCGATGTACGGAACGATGCAGGCATCCCTGGGCCGCCCGCGGCGAGGCGCGGCTCGTGGAACGCAGCCCAGGGCTGGAGGACCGCCGGGAAAACCGAAGAGCACGTGCAAAACCGCCTCGGACCTCACACCTCTCCCCGCGCCAGGCCGGCCCGTGAGGGCGTCGGGAGGCCCGCCGCAGCAGCCAGAGGCTACCCGTCGCGCTTTTGCCCGCTGCCGCCGCGACGCCGGCTGGCCGCGGCTCGTGCCAACCCGCCGCGGCCCCGGAGGCGTCGGCGCGAGCAGCGGGCGCCGGCGGGCAGCCTGGAGTCCTGCTCGGAGCAGGGCGAGCCGAGGCAGCGGCAGCTCACAGCGACCCTCCGAGCCCCTCCTGGGAGGCAGGAGGAGGAGGAGGAGGAGGAGGAGGCGGAGGCGGAGGAGGAGGAGGAGGAGGAGGAGGAGGAGGAGGAGGAGGAGGAGGACCCACGGTCCAGACGCCAGAAATGGTGCGAGCTGCGCCTCGCCGAGGCGAAAGGGGCCCTCCCGGGAGGCCAGCCGCCGCCCTCGGGGTCTCGCCCTCCGCCGACGGGCGCGGCGCCCCGGGCCCCCGCCTGCCGCGAGGAGCGCACGGGGCAGGAAGGCACCAGCTATGCACCAGCACCGATCCTGGCCCAGGATCGCCCTGGGCCCAGGATCGGTGTGTACGCCCTCCTGCCCTACGCAAGAAGGCATATATACACCGATCCTGGGCCCAGGGTGATCCTGGCCCAGGATCACCCTGGGCCCAGGATCGGTGTCTACGCCCTCCTGCCCTGCGCAAGAAGGCATGTACACCGATCCTGGGCCCAGGGTGATCCTGGCCCAGGATCACCCTGGGCCCAGGATCGGTGTATAGACGCCCTCCTGCCTCGCGCAGGAAGGCATATATGCACCGATCCTGGGCCCAGGGTGATCCTGGGCCCAGGATCGGTGTGTGTGTGTGTGTGTGTGTGTGTGTGCGTGTGTGTGTGTGTGTGTGTGTGTGTATAGCTGGTGCCCTCCGACGGGGGAGCAGAAGCGGAAACGGCGCTGATGAAGGGCCTGCACGTGCGAATTCTGGGGTGGCCACAGCGTGCGTGCTGGTGGCCGGCGCGCACGCTGCGGAGCACGGACCGCCGAAGAGACCCAAAGGATCAAGAACCTGAAATGGAGGTCCGGCCTCCGGTCGTCAGCCCTGTTTCCCCTAATTCTGAAAGCTCTTCGCCTCCAGAATGGAGGTCCGACCTCCAGAATGGAGGTTTCTGATCCTCAGAGGCGCAGCGGGGGAGGCCGTGCACCGGGATCAGGTCAGGCCTCCTTCAGGTACGCCAGGAGCTTGACGGCCACCTTACCGGCCGCAGCCTTAGCGTCTGCCGCGTCTTCGACGCGGGCCTCGCACATCTGGCCGTCCGCGAACTGGACGACAGTCTGTTCCTTCACGGCCTGGTCGTAGGCCAGGTACTCGGCGATTGCGCCCTGGCTCTCGGAGCAGCACTGGGAGAAGGCCGCCTGGGACAGCGTCACCTGCATGATGCCGCGGAGCACAGAGATGGACTCGAGCATGCAGAACTGATCCCGTATAGTTGGGCTCGACCTTACCGAGCAGGGTGTGGGGAAGTTCGTGACGAGGAACGTGCCCATCGGGTTGGCCGATTGGGCGAGCGCCTCCTGGAAGAGCGCCTTCCAGAGCTGCGGCGGAAGCGCGTCTGGCAGCTCTGCGGTCTTCAGCGCCTTGGTCAGCTGTGCCTCGAGCTCGGGGGTGTGCTCGCCACTGCTCAAGAGCTTGGCGCTGTCAAGTATGGTGTACTTTCCCTTTGTGCATATTGCGTCCGCCACGAGCTCTGCGAAGGGTCCGGCGCTGGCGAGCACGTAGACCTTGGGCAGCAAGCGCTTTCTGATCTGCTCCGCCATCTCTTCTGGCTTCACCGTCGCCTGGCTGAGAGACAGCACGCACCCTGGACATGCCTCGTCGATGCTCTTCAGCATCGTAGCCCGCACCTGCACTGGCCCCACCAAGAAAGAAATAGTCGGACAGCTGCCTCCCCCACGAATGAACATGGGAGACGATTCACGGAAACACTCCTCGAAACATGAATGCCAACGCCGGCCTCAGGGGGATGTATGTGGGAAAGTAGCCCGAACACCGCAGGGGGGGATGCGAGGATGTTTGAAGAGGGAGGCAAGGCTGTCTAGAGTGGCTTTGAACGCCTCGGTTGTGCTTTCGAATTTCGAGGCCCCCAGGCCTGCTTGTCTTCCTCAAACTTCGCTTGCAGCTCCTCGGGGTCCACCTCGGCGTCTTCGTTGGCCTCCTGGAACTCCTCAACCAGGAATTCGGTTTCGCAGCCTATCTCGACGACCAACTTAGGGGGCCCGAACGTGGCAAGAAACGCTGCCGCGTCGTCGGCGGTCTTTGGGTATCTGTCCAGCACCAAGAATGGGGAATTGACGCTAGCACAGAACTTCTGCAAGGCCGGAATGAAACTGTCGGGCTGTGCGGGATCGATCGTCTCGGACAGCGTCGCCTTGGCCCATGCCACAACTTTCTCGGCAGTGACTGGTAGTTCAGAGTAAGCCGTCGCCAGCTTCTCTGCCTGCTTCGGCGTGATGACAGTGGATGACCCTGTGGCGATCCCGAAAGGCCATGCAACTGCTGCCCTCACAATACCCCGCTCTGAGAGCAATTTTGAATTCGAGTGCACGGGTGATGGGGAGGAAGACGAAAATGAGGTGGGGAAAATGGGAAGATGCATGAGGAAGGATGAAGAAGAGGAGGAGGAGGAGGAGGAGGAGGAGAAGGAAGACCCATTATTTCGGCCGATTTTTCCCCACCCGACAGGCTGGGGCTGTTACATCTCAAGAACAGGCCCCCCCGGGCAACCCCACCCTGCGTACCGCGGCCGCCACGCGAAACCCCACGTTGTCCCGAGTATCCCGAGTATCCCGGGTGTCCCGCCTCGCGCCCGGCCAACCCCACCCTGCATGCCGCGGCCGCCAAACCTGAAGATGTCCCGATGATCCCCGAGAATCCCGGGTACACAACATGACAGAACAGAGCATGCCATAACGGAACAGAGCATGACAGAACATGACAGAACATAACATATCAATATCATGACAAAGTAGAGCATAACATAACATCACATAACCTACCAGAACAGAACATGACAGAGCAGAAAACTTCAGAACGCAACGTAACATAACATAACCGAGCATAACATAACACACCTTGACATGACATATCATATCACATCACAGCAGCATCGAACATAGCATAGCACGACAGCAGAGCATCGCGACAACGAACACGACAGAACACAACATGACACAACATAGCATAACATAATATACCACGAATATGAAATAATATTACATATCAAAACCTGGCAATGGCATGACAACATGAGGCATAACATAACAACACATATACTGCCAGAGCAGAAGAACATTACATAATTGAAGACGACAGAACACAACATAACATACCAGAGTCGAGCATAACATAACACACCTTGACATAACATCTCATGTCGTGGCATAGCATCACATAGTACACCATAATACGACAACGGAGCATAGCGACGACGAGCACGACAGAACACAAAATGATACAACATAACATGACATACCATAACGCGAGCATAACAGACCATGATATAATAGAACATAGCAATGGGAGGACACACTAGGGCATAATTGAAATCACAGAACATATCAGAGCAGAACATGACCGAGCAGAAGATGGCATAGCACAACATAACATAACATAGCCGAGCATGACATACCACACCTCGACAGAACATACCATATCATGCCACAATGTCACAGGACATATCATAACACGACAGCAGAGCATAGCAACATGTACTACCACACCATATCATAATATACCGAACAGATCCGAGCCGTCAACAAACATACGATCACATAACGTACCATAGCAGAACATGACATACCATGAACAGACGTAACACAACAACACGTAACACAACTTACCAAACTATAACACACCATTACATAACATATCATACCATATCATGACAGCATCACAGGATGTATCATAACACGACAGCAAAGCATAGCGACACATACTGACATATCATATCATACTATACTATACTGAGCCGAGCTGTCAACAACATCACGGAACATATCATACTATACCATAAACTGACATACCATATCATGCCATATCATGGTGCCACAAAGCAGAACATACCATAACATGTCAATACCAATGGTGACACATATGATCGTAACATGACACATTCAACCAGAAGGGAAACAGATACGTGAAGAGGACCATCATAACAGACGGCGCACCTAACGTCACAAGCGTCACGACGTCACGCTGGCCCCTCGAGAACATAACAAGACGTAATAAGGTATACCATGGAAGAGCGTGACTACATGGAACACGTTGATCCGTTTTTGAATCCAGAAACAGCAGTTGTCGACCAATTCGGCGACCGCGCGCCGTCGGGAACAAACGCTTAAGGTTTCGGTGGGGATCGCTCGAAACAGCACAATTTTCAACGACGTGGGCCCCTAAACTCTCGACTGCATCCACAAGCTTGCTATTTTTGGCCGCGCGTCATTACTTATGGCCCTGGGGCCCGTGAACGGCCCAAAGAGGCACAACATATACATTGCACGAAGCGCCCCGCAGCTGTGGAAAAGAGTGAGAGGGCGGGCGCGGGGTGGGTCGCGGGTGGGTCGCGGGGTGGATCGCAGGTGGGTCGCGAGCGGGTCGCGGGGCGGGTCGCGGGTGGGTTGCGGGGGGGTCGCGTGCGAGGACGATAATAACAACGCAAGAGCAATCCGCACCACGGAACTCCACTTCAGCCACGCGCACAGGGACAGTGAGTGTGTATATATATATATATATGTATATATATATATATATATATATATATATATATATATATTCATACTCATATTCCGATTCATATATTGTTATAGGGCTGGGGACGCTGGACCCCCCCCCCTCCCCTAACGAATTTGGCCCTCCCCGGGCCTCCGGGCAACCCTTCAGACGACTCGGGAGAACCTCACGAGAGCCCGACGACGGCCCCAGACGGGTTCTAGGCGTTCCGGCGCGCTCCCGAAACGGCCCAGAGAACTCCAATACAGTCCACGACGACCCCCAAGAAGCCGTCATACCCCCAAAGATCGCTCCAAAACGTCCCAAGAGGCGTCCAAGAGCACTCCCAAGAAGGCCCCAAGAGGCAAAAATCATGAATTTCATTTAGGTTTTTGGTGAATGTTGGGGTCTCGCGTTTCGGCTTCCCGACGCTCCAAGACAGCGGTCTTCTGGGCGTCCGAAGCCGCCTGGGAGGCTCCAAAATCGCCCCCCCACCATCAGAAACGGCTTCCAGTCAGTCCAAGGGAGCCCCACAACGGCACAGCAGGGGTCCAAGATGGCCCTAAGAGAGCCCCATGGCGGCCCAAGATGGCCCCCAAACACCCTCCGAAGCATTCCAAATCGTGACCCGGACGTTCAAGGATACCGCGGTTGGAGGCAGGGTGTCCCGAGGAAGCCCCCAGAGGCCCCGTGTGTATGGGAGCGTCTTCCTTGGAGGCTTTAAGGGGCTCTAGGGGCGTTTCTAAAGGTGCGTCAAGAGGGGCTAGAAGAAGGGCCTCTAGAGGGGGGCGCACGCGATTCTAGAGAGGGAGAACGCTTACCTCTAGAGGCGTGAGCCTAGAATGTCTCTAGAGGATACAATTTCCTAATCTGGATATTCAAGAGGGTCTGTTACCATACACGCACGCGGGTGTCTGTATATACATGTACGTTTACAGACATGTGTGATGTAATCAGGCGTATCTGCACCTGTATATGACCTCGCCAACCTTCAATGTGTCGCGACGCTGGAAGGTCTGGGTTGGTTTGAAGCAGGTGTCGTGGCCCTGGGCCTACAACGATGGCGAACTGAGGCAACGTGGCGCGCTCGATCAGGGCCGCTAGCTCCTCGCTCGCGGGCGTCGCGGACACGTCCAGCCGCTCCAACTTGCCCATCCTGGGCAGCCGAGCGCATATTGTCGGCAACGGCATCTCACAGCCGAAGTCTTGCCATACAGAGCTGCTAAGTGGCAGGTCCCAGAAGCCCTGAATCCACGAACATGTCCATTTCTTGGAGGGCGCATCTGTCACCTCCGCCGGCATCCGCTGGCCTTCCGGCGGCGGAAGCGCCCTCGTTTTACCCCCGACGCCTTCCGCCAGCCCTCCTCCGCAGCCTTCCGCCGAGGAAGAGAGGTCAACGCCTCGATCCCTGGAAGGCGAAACCCTTTCTCGCCGTCGCTCGGACGTCCATTCCCTGTGTTTTGTTCGGTTTCGTGCGTGGTTTTTTCGCGAAATAATCAAGGGTGCTCCTCGATGGTCCTCGCCGAAGGAAAAATGCACACGTCCGAGCGATGCAAAGCTTTTTCGAACGCGCACATACAAGCGAAGTCCCTTTCTAGCCCCAGCTGCGCCCCGCGAGGAGCGCCCGACGAAACAATCCACCAGACGACGGACCCGAGGACCCCCGAGCCCCTTGCGAAACCAAAGCGGCCCTTCTTCCAGACCTTGACCACAGTGAGAATTACAGCTGGCCTCCTCCTCCTCCTCCTCCTCCTCCTCTTCATCATCTCCCCTTCCACACAACTTCTCCTCTTCCTTTCCTCCCTCCAAGCCTGCCCCTCATCCTACTCGCTCCTCCTCCTCCTCCTCCTCTTCCTCCTCCTTGTCCCCCTCCCCCTCCTCCTCCTCCTCCTCCTCCTCCTCCTCGCTCCTCCTTCCTCCCGCTTCCCTCTTCTGCATCGGTTAGCACCACCGCTCCTTCATCCAACAGGTCCGAGGGATATTGGGAGACACCTCTACTTGCAGCATGTGCCATACGAGATCTGCTTCCAGAAGGGCCTTGGCTGAACACATCGCCTTCGACTCGCCCAAGTGCGCAGTGTCTTTTCTAGGAAAGCCAAGAGCGTGCTCTGCGGAGACATGCCAGTCTCTCAACAACGCTGACCAGGAGGCGGCTCGACAGCAACGAGCCGCGGACCGTGGCCGCTGGCGTCCAGAATTTCCAGCAGTGCGTCAGCTAGGCCGTGCTTGTTTCCCGTTGAAGAAGGAGGTCGTATCTCAGCTCTCGGTGGAAGAAGAAGCCAGGGACATTCTTGTCTTGGAGGATTACGCGTTCGCTTCTGAGGCGGCCCTAAGGTTTTTGGAACTATCTAGCTCGCTCCCCCTCCTGCAACCTCCTCCTCCTGATGACCGGTTCTGGCCCTTTCGGCCCCAAGATTTCTCTGGTGTTGCTGCCTCTGCTCTTCCTTTCCAAATTAAGAGGCCCGAGCTTTTTGTGCTCCACTTGTTTTCTGGCATGAGAGAGTCGGGCGATTTACAGCATCATCCAGAATACGCCTGGCCGTCCACTGCTTGTGTCATGTACTGTCTGTCAGTGGACGTCGCCATAGATCCTCAGACAGGGGACCAAACGCAGGTTTCGGTTATCAGCGGATGGCTAGGACACTTGCGTGCTAGGAGGGTTCTCAATTCAGGGAGGGGGGACCTCCCTGCGAGACGTGGAGTGCTGCTCGGTGGTACGAAGGGGCCCCCCCCCCTGCGGAACCAGGAATATGCTTGGAGGAGGAGGAGGAGGAGGAGGAGGACGAGGAGGAGGAGGAGGAGAGGAGGGAGGAGGAGAGGAGGAGGACGAGGAGGACGAGGAGGACGAGGAGGACGAGGAGGAGGAGGAGGAGGAGGAGGAGGAGGAGGAGGAGGAGGAGGAGGAGTCCCTTGGCGCACGGCCCGCCAAGGCCTCCAAGTCTCCGTGGGCTCCCAGCTTCTGCACGCTCTCGCTCGCCTCCTAGCCGCGCACATGGCGGCAGGCACCAGTGGATGCAGTGCCCCGCAGACCCTTGGCAACGTTGCCTGCCACGGTCTGCGACGCGATGCTGGGCCCCGTTCGGATTTCGAATTTGGGTTCCTCATGACATTGGCTGACATTGACGTGTGAAAAAATCGTGGGTCCTCAGCGGTATCTCACATGGAGCACCCCCTCCCCCCCACGTGGATCGCTGGCGCTCCCACCTCTGTCCGATGGCCCCCGCTCGTCGCCCTCGTGTCTGCTCCTGACTCATTAGGGGAACAAAAAGTGGCACAAACATAAAAACTCGGAGGTCCGCGCGGATTTCTCGGATCGGCGCTGGGGCCCCCCTGGCGGCGCCTCCGGCGCCGCCCCTGGCGCGCTCCGCGCGCCAGGGAGGGGGGCCCCAGCGCCGATCCGAGAAATCCGCGCGGACCTCCGAGTTTTTATGCTTGTGCCACTTTTTGTCCCCCTATTGTCCGTAGATGCAGGGCTGGCGCTTTCTACGAAGCAGCCTCCTTCTCAGAAGGCTCTCTCCCCCCTCCCCCTACCCAATTGTGCGCGCCGCCACAGGTCGGGAGCGGCCAAGAGGGGGGTGTCCAAGAGGGGGGGGGTGCAAATCATGACCGGCGGCACGTGCGCGGCCAAGCGGGGGGGCCAGGGACGTAATGAAACAAGAAGAGGCGCCACGAGATCTGGGGAAATATCATGGCCCACGCCATGATATCCACCCACCCCTAGTCATCACCCCCCTTTTTTCCGCCCCCGAACAAGTCGGATGTCGCTAGAAGTGCCCCTCCTCCTCCTCCTCCTCCTCCTCCTCCTCCTCGTCTTCCTCCTTCTCCTCCTCCTCCTCCTCCTCGTCTCCCTCCTCCTCCTCCTCCTCCTCCTCCTCCTCCTCCTCCTCCTCCTCCGCCTCCTCGCGATCCGTCTGGCCCCTATGGGCCGCCAGGCATAGCAGAAAACCGAAACCCCGACACAAACTGAATCCATAGTTTCTCTGATAAGGCCATTTCAGACCTCCCCTGTGGGAGAACCCTCCCAAACATCGTCCCCAGACCCCCCAGGCCCTCCAAGATAGCCTGGAAGAGACCCCCCCCGAATTGAGACCCCCCTCCCTTTATTACGAAATCTGGGGTAGATGCTCACACGGTCCTGGTGCTCGCAGGACCCTTCTCGGCAAAGCCTCGGGGGGCTCTCTGAAGACAACCGCCGAGAAGACGTACTCTACGGGTTCGTCCACGGCCATCGCTTCCAGCATCGTCGCTTCTCTCAGAGATATGATCTATGTGAACGATGAAGACGCGGAGTTTGTTTTGGGCACGGGTCCTGAGGATCTCCGCCGTGGTTTGCTCGATGTTTTATGTTTCTGACCTTACCTCGGGGGCCGAAATTTCTCGGAAGCTCCCGACTTTGCGCCTCGAGGGCGCAAGGGTCGCACGGCCGACCCAGCGCGTGACCATGTCAGAATTCATGACTCGAGCATGCCCAGCCTCCCCTCCGACGCAGGGGCAGGAGCCGCCAGCTCCCACCCGGCCCGTGGAGGTGGACGCGGAGGAGGGGCAGGCTGTCTTGGACCTGCTGGAGCAGGAGGCGGCGCCTGTCTCGCTTGCCCCTCTCCTCTCCCCCCCTCGGCTTGTCCCCTTCGTTCGCCTCGCCTCCCCCCCCCCCATCCTCCCGTTCTGACCGAGGCCCAGCTCAACCCCATCAGACTTCGGAGGGAGGCGGCTCGGGCCAGAAAGGCGGCCCGCTTGTTGGCGCAACGTGCGCCCTGGAACGCACCAGGAGGCGAGCTTCACACCAATATACCTTTTCTGCTGCCACCCGCCCTTTGGGGATCTGGGGCGGGGGGGCCGATCTTCCTTTTTGATCGTTCCCCTGTCTTGTGAGGTTGTTGCACAGGCCTGGTCTCAGGCCGCGGTGGCCACAGTCCCTGACAGACAGAGCGGCACCGAACACGCCATGCGCCAAGCCGTCGTCGAGCGAGAGAGAGAGAGAGAAACAAAAAAAGAGCCTGCCTCTTCTGTCTCCGCGCCCCAATAGATCCGCACTCAAAATGATGTTTGCAATGCGCCCAGAAGCCGCAAAAATGGGGCAACAAGGGCTATTCCGTGTAACCCGCCTCCCCTGCGAACGCAACAAACGCCCAAAGACGCGAAACAGGCTCCAGGATACCCCCAAGATGGCTCAAGAGGTCGCAAGACGCCCCGAAGGACGCTCAAATAGGCCTCCCGCGAGGCCCGAAGACGCCCTTCCCGCTGCACCCTCCGCCCTCTGGCCTTTCCAGCGCGTGGCGCAAAGAAGGCGTTTTCATGCGGCCGAAGTGGGCGTCAAGACGACCCAGGAGGGCCCGAAGACGGCCCCAGAGAGGCCCCTGAGGGCCCCAAGAGGTTCCCAAGAGAGCCCTTAGAGGGCCACAGGAGGTCCCCAAGGGGACCCAGTCGGACCCAGGAGGGCCCCCAGAGGGCTCCAACACAGCCCAAGCCCGCCAAAATGGCCCAAGAAGGTCCCGGGACGGCCAACATGGGAGCCAAGAAGGCCCAAACGAGACCCAAAAGGACCCCCAGGAAAGCCCTGCAATGCAATATTCATTGATTTTCGCAAGGCAGGTTGCTAGATTGCTGTATGTCGTACCAAAGCCTTAACGCCAGCTCCAAGACACTAAGCCAGCGACTTCGCGCCCTTACAAAGTAAACGCGCTTTCCGTCCACATGCCAAGCAGGTGCACCAGCGCCGATGCTGAACTCGATTTCACAGGAGTTGCGTCCTGATTAACTTACAAGCTCAGGCGAGTCTATTTGCACGGCATTCCTCCCGCCCCCCACCGCCTTTTCAAGCGGCACTGGGACCACAAGGCGCGTGCGCGAGTCCCGATCTGCCCGAAGTCCAGGCTCCCCCTCGGCGCTCGCCACGCCCCCCCCCCCCCCCCCGTGCAAACAAATTTGCTGGAGCCCATAAAGAGAAACCTCAGAACAACCCGAAGTCTCTCGCGGCTTTCGGCCTTTGGAGGGGCCCCTGACGGGCACCCTGGGGCCGTCAGAAGACGGCTCGGGATGAGAAGCCAACCCTGGAGAACGGGTCGGGACCTCTGGGGGCCTCGTGCGAAAACAACACATATGCGTTGGATTGTGGCTGTACGCGACGGGAATCGAGTTGGGGCTAGCGGTATGGGGGCCCTATCGCTGCCCCTGGGGCGAAGAAGCTCCGCGCCTCGAAAAGGCTCGAAAGCTTGGAGTCCCGGAGACTCGGGGAAGCTCGGGCCTGGGCAGCTGCGGGGGCAGAAGAGGAGGAGCCGCCCTCGCTCATCCTGGACATCGCAATATCCTCCTCTCCCTCACCAGAGGAGCCCCGACCTGCAGAAGCCTCCAAAGCGGATGGGAAGACCTCTGGAATGGAGGGAAGCATTTTCCAGAGCGGAAATCGGACATCCATTCTGGAGGCTCCGGAAATTTTCTGGACACTCGGGACAGATCCATCACTGCGCCTGCACGATGGTGATAGATCACCTGGGCGACTCCAACGTAGTACCCATGGGGTGCCATTCGGAAGGAAAAAATCAACGGGGCGCGCCGAGGATCCCAGGGGCACCAGCTTCCGCGAAGGAAGAGAAACATCCCTGGCGAGGGGTTCGAGCACGGGGGCTGCTGCTGCCCAAAAGTACGGAAGAAGTGAACTCTCAGCCGCGGGGGCACTGGCGCGCGGGGCCCCACCCCCATAGCGCAACCAGAAGAGGAAAAGCGCGAGAGCCCATATCGTAAAAGTGCAACAACACTCTTATAGTAGCTGTACGGTGGAATTGAACGAGTACTACTTGCACCCTACTGTTGCATTCCAATAGTGGTACGAACTGTGATACGATATTCGTTGCACTCCAATACTACTTGTACAACAGGACCAGATGCACTCTAGGAGCAGCTGCGCTGCGCGCTGGCACATGATAGTACCTTTTGTATTCAAGTACCAGGTGCACTTTAGTCGGACGAGTTCAGGGGTTCCAATGGTAATGCGCGCATGGAAGAAGGAAGCGAAGGAAACAACTCTATGCACCGTCAGGGTTCCCGGGTCTAACGGGTCGCCGAGAAGGTGGACCCCCCGCGGAAGTAAGACAAGAAATCAGGCTGGGGGGGGGTGAAGGGTTCAGGCATGAGTCGCGGGGGCGATAGTGATAGTGGAGTGGCTTAAGGGGCTTGAGTTCGATCTCTGGTAGCGTTTCTGTGACACCCTCAGGTGATAGCAAACGCCAGGGACCGCCGTCGCCGAGGCAGGCTAAGGCCACCCCGCGAGCGCCCCTTGGCGGCCTCAAGACCTAGACAGACGGCCACCTTACCAGCGCAGAGATGCCCAAAGACGCCAAACCGGCTCCAAGATGGCCCCAAGATGGCGCAAGAGGCCCCACGAGGCCTCCCGCGAGGCCCGCAGAGGCACCCGAACATGAGCAACAGCAGAAACAGTATCGTTTTTCTTCAGGGAGCCCCGAGACGGGCCCAAGACCGCCTTGGACGGCCCGAGGAGCCCTGTGGACAGCCAAGACCTCCACAAGCAGACCCGCCCAGGCGGCCCCAAGACCCGCCGAGGCGGCCCCAAGGTGGTCCCGCCGGGCCTCTTCGGGAGAGCTCGGTGGAAGCACTGCGCCCAAGACGCGCCCGCGACCCCCCATGGGCGCCCAACTGGCCCCCCCAGGGGACCCCACAAAAGAGGCTTCCCAGGAAGCCTCCAAGGCGGCTTCAAGGGGGAGAAGGGCAGCCGGGGGCGGACAGGGGTCGAATGAGGAAGAGGATGACGAGGAGGTAGGCAATGATGGGGGGGGGGGGTTAAAGACCCCCGCCAGGTCAGACGCGCTCTTTCTTTTTCTCTTCCAGCACGACATTCATCAACCGAGCACTGCAATGACAGACGAGCTCTGAACTGAAGCGGACCTGAAACTCAACCCCTTCCCCTTGTCTGCTGCTGCGCAAGCACTTTGGTGGGGCTTGCCGCGGGCAGCTCGGCAACTTTGGCGAGTGCGGGGCTGCCCGCTGTCTGGTCTCCGAAAAAATCGAAAGCCTCCACTCTGGAGTTCGAGCCTCCGCTGTGGAGGGTCCTGAACATCCATAACGGAGGGAACAAGCACCTCTAGATTGGGCGACGAGATCTATACATATCCACTGCTCCCTGGCCAGGCCTATCCTGAACCCGCCAGCGGTGTATACGCCACGCGCTCCTGGCTTGGCCAGGAGGGCGGATACACAGCTGCTGGTTTCAGGATGGGCCTGGCCAGGGAGCAGTGGATATGTATAGATCTCGTCGCCCAATCTAGAATGGAGGTCGAACCTCCATCTTGGATCCTCGGGGAGGGGAGCACGGGTGGAGGGGTAGAGGTGCCGCTGCGCGGCGCTGTCCCCCACCCCAAGTCCATTTCGATCCGATCGACCCGACTCGACATCGATCTTCGGCCTGCCCGATGCTGCCTCTCCCTGACATCCCAGCGATCCGATGCGCCCCAATGCGGCACGGCGCTGGCGTGCACCCCTGGCGCGGCCGATCCGGCCCGGCACCGACTCCGCGCCGACGCGGCCCGATCCGACTCACGCTCCGATCCTGTCCGACTTCTGATCCTCTGCTCGACTCCGAATCCGCACAACTTGGGGCGATTTCGCAAGTAGGGCGACAATGTCCGCCCTACAACGTCCGCCCGATCGTGCCTGCGGTCAGCTGCCAAAATACAACGTCCGCCCTGCTTTTCAAGGTCCGTTGATGTTGAGTTCCGCCCTACTTTCCGTCGCAGTTCCTGCCCTACTTTTGTGGATGTCAGCCTTACTTCCTGAAAAAATTGCAAACAAATCCACAGAGTTGCGGACACAGAAATGTGCATCCGCATCAGTAAATGCGGAAATTACCGCCCTACTTCTCCGAGGCGGAGGTTTCCGCCCTACTTGCTTGCATCCCACGGGATGTTTTTTCCGACACGATGAGAGGCTTCCCAGATAGGGTCCGAGTAGATGGGGTCGGAGGATCGGACCCCATCTGGGAGGCCTAGAACACCTGTAAATCAGAAATTTCACCCAAGCCAAAGTACGGCGGATCCCGAGTCAGGGCATGGGGGGCGTCTTGGACGCTGCCCGCGCGCCTGCTGAAGTGCGCCGCGACGGGCTCCAGACCCCGCAGCCTGTCCTCGAAGGCCCTCGCCGCGAAAGCCTTTGCCACCTCGCTGCTGGTAGACCTCTGGCGGGCAGAGAGGAGGAGGAGGAGGAGGAGGAGGAGGAGGAGGAGGAGGAGGAGGAGGAGGAGGAGGAGTAGGAGGAGGAGGAGGAAGAAGAGGAGGAGCAGGAGGAGGAGGAGGAGGAGGAGAAAGAGCAGGAGAAGGAGGAGGAAGAGGAGGAAGAGGAGGATGAGGAGGAGGAGGAGCAGGAGGAGGAGGAGCAGGAGGAGCAGAAGGAGGAGGAGGAGGAGGAGGAGGAGGAGGAGGAGGAGGAGGGAGGCTGAAACCCAAAGTCGTGGGGGGTTCAACCCTAAATTTCTGCTGTGTGCGACAACCATCGAGGGGGCGCCCAGATGCATCCTTTCTGAGTCCAAGCTTCAGTGTTTGAACCATCTCTCCATGCCAGTCTGCAGTCATTGCGATTACCGCAAAAACCTAGATTGGCAGTCGCATTCCACACACTGCCACCACAAACTTCCCCATGCTCGTGATGTCAACTTTCTCGCTCCTCGTGGTGCTTGGGCTTATGATGTGGGTGGGGATGCTTCCAAGACGGTTGCGGTTCTTGGTGGAGGAAAGGAAGCAAGCAGCGTGCGCCGCCTGGTCAGTGGTGGCCTGCCGAACCTCCCTGGGTCAGTTCAGAGCAGTTGCAGCCCCTGGTCGACATGCCAGAGCAGCAGTTCGAGGCCGCAGTCATTTCCCCGTCAGGACCTCAGAGGCGTGAATTTGTCAAGCTACGAGCGTTGCGCGCAGGAGATCCTTCTGCTGTCTCGCGCCATGTCCAGCAGCAACACCGGTGTCAAGTCAAAGCTCGGGGGCTTCCTGTAGAAGCTTCGGAAGGCAGAGCAGCACCTGTCGGATCAGTTCGAGAAGGTGGTCGCGCTGCGAGCCGAGGTTCAACAACTCGAGCAGCAAGAAAGAGAAATTGCTCAACAATCGGCAGCGGCTTGCCAGAAGGTCGTATGCGGTGCGTCGGCAGATGGCGAAGGCAGACAGTCCAGAACAAGTGCTCCTGCGTATGGCTGATCAGCTCAGGGCGTTGGTCAACACAAGGTATCATGCTCGTCATCATGATCGCCCTCTTCCTGCTGCAGATCATCCTGCCGCAAGTGCTATGCCGCTACCAGCTGCTGAGCGACAAGCAGAGGCTCAGACGGTCGATGACGACAGTGACGTTGACCTTGACGACCTGGACAATTCATGGGCTGAGGCGAATGAGGCGGCTCACTTTACGGCCCAGCAGATCATCAAGCTTCACGCGTCGGAGGAGAATTTCCATAAAATCTGGATAACAATACTCATATTGCGTTGTCTATGGGGCAGTGCCGTGGTCTGGTCCAGTCGGTTGCCCAGTCCATCAAGCGCAATCGAGGTAGGACCGATTGGCACGCCAAAGAGAAGAAACTCAAAGTTGATCCTCCCAGCCGTTAGCAAAAGCGACAAACGGTGGGTCTTCCCCGCTGCCAAGATAACTACCTGGCCAAGTGTTGAGAGGGCGCATGAAGAGTCGAGCTCTACATTCGACGTGATCTGAGTTCAGGAGACGCACCTCACACCAATTCAATGTGATTCTCTAGAAAGTCAGATACGTAAGTTTGGGTACTCTGCCAAAGTGTCCCCAAGGGCTCGCAAAGGCACTGAGGGTCTTGATTGAGGTCTCGCTACGCTGGTTCCAAAGTAGACCGGTCTGTCTAACGTTCAAAAGTTTGACTTCTGTATATGGCATGTACGGACCACTGCAATGCACGTTGGGGGCATGGTTCGCTGCGGTTTCGTTCTTGTCAACATCTACTTGCAGCACTCCGCAGGCCTCGGAGCCTTCAACTGGTGTATCTTGTCTAAGGTGGGCCCTTTTCTCAAGCAAGTTGGCCCCCCCCCTTCGTCATTGCCGCGGATTGGCAGCAGCGGCTGGCCCCGGGGCTCTGGACGCTAACGTCTTCTTCTAGATCGCGGGACATGCAGGCCAGCCAGCAAAATCATCGACGTTTTCCTGGTCAGCCTCGCGCTGGCCGGCCCTGCGGCGTGCGCCGCGCGCACCGACACTGCCACGGCGCCTCGTTGCCCAGTGCAAGCTCTCGATCGAAGCACAGCCAGCTTTAGGTCGAGCTTGTCCCCCTACAGCGGGATTTTCGACGAACAATTAAACAAATACCCAAAAAATACCCCAAAAAGGCCAAAGAATACTCAAAACATATTCCCCAGACCATGTTTGGACTATTTTCGGACTATTTTGGGGGGATCTTGGATTTTTTCATCGAAAATCCCCCTGTAGGGGGACAGGCCCGACTTCAAGCCAGCTGCGACCGCTCAAACCGCACGGATGCCGACGTCTTCCGGCAGCTGCGCCCGCTGGCTGTGCCGCCCCGCCGTCGGAGGACCCTTGGCACCCGCCTCGCTCTCCAGGTCGAGCCGTGCCGGACAGTTCGCGACGTGTGGACTCCGAGAGGGGGAGGAGGAGGAGGAGGAGGAGGAGGAGGAGGAGGAGGAGGAGGAGGAGGAGGAGGAGGAGGAGGAGGAGGACAGGCCCGACTCCGAGGTTGGGGGGTGAGATCGCAGTGTCACGGAGAGCCCCCAACCAGGAAATCGGTTTCGGTTTCGGTGTCGTGTTCGTGTCGTGCGTGCGGGCGTGTCAGACGGTGTCGTGTTCGTGCCTCGCTCTCCAACTCGAGCCGTGCCAGACGGTTCACGACAAGTGAACTCCGAGGTTGGGGTTACGTCGGGCCTGTCCCCCTACAGGGGGATCTTCGACGAAAACTGAACAAATACCCCCAAAATTATCCCAGTGCGACCCTACCTAGGAGTTGGAGCCCCTAGGAAAACAGCATTAGTAGTAACAGTAAAGCTAAGCTAAAGCTAAGCTAAAGCTAAGCTAAAGCTAAGCTAAAGCTACATTAAAGCTAAGCTAAAGCTACATTAAAGCTAAGCTAAAGCTAAACTCAAGCTAAACTAAAGCTAAGCTAAAGCTAAGCTAAAGCTAAGCTAAAGTTAAGCTGAAGCTAAGCTAAAGCTAAGCTAGAATTAAAGCTAAAGCTAAAGCTAAAGTTCAAGCTAAAGCTAAGCTAAAGCTGAGGTAAAGCTAAGCTAAAGCTAAGGTAAAGCTAAGGTAGAGCTAAGGTAGAGCTAAGTTAAAGCTAAGCTATAGCTAAGCTGAAGCTAAGCTAAAGCTAGGCTAAAGCTAGGCTGAAGCCAAGCTTAAGCTAAGCTAGAACTAAGCCAAAGCTAAGCTAAAGCTAAATATGTGTCTAAAGCTGAAGCTAGAGCTACGCTGAAGCTAAGCTAAAACTAAGCTACAGCTAAGCTAAATCTAAACTAAAGCTAAACTAAAGCTAAGCTGAAGCTAAGCTAAAGCTAAGCTAAAGCTAAATTGAAGCTAAACTTAAGCTAAAGCTAAGCTACATCTAAGCTAAGACTAGGCTAGGCGAAGCTAAGCTAAGCTGAGCTATGATGAGATAAGCTAAGCTAAGCTAAGCCAAGCTAAACTAAACTAAGATGAGATAAGCTAAGCTGAGCTAAGCCAAGCCAAGCCAAGCTAAGCTAAGCTAAGCTAAGCTATGCTAAGATAAGATAGGCTAAGCTAAGCTAAGCTAAGCTAAGCTAAGCTGGGTGAACCCAGGGGGCGCAACTGGGGGAACCGCGGGGCGGGGACTGGGGGAACCGCCCGGGGCGGCCTACACTGCCCGGCCCCTTTAAGCAAACCAAGTAAGAACCCTCTAGGCAGAGCCTAGGTAGGGAATAATCCCAAAATTGTCCGAAGATAGTCTGGGGACTATTTCTTTTGTACTTTTTAACCTGCATTTTTTGGGGGGGGGAATTTTTCATTTTTCGTCGAAAATCCCCCCTGTATGGGGGACAGGCCCGACTCAAGGTTGCGGGGTGAGATCGCAGCGTAACGCAGAGCCCCCCCACCAGGAGAAATCGGTTCCGCTTCCGGCGTCGCGTCCGCGTCGTGCGTGCGGGCGTGGCGACGCTGCGCGGGGCGCGCGGGACGAGAAGGATGCCGCCGTGGCCAGGTGGGGCGCCCGAGTTCTCCGGGGCCACTCGGGCCCGGGGGAACTCGGGCTTGGCTTCCCGAAGAAGGAACCTCCTCCTCCTCCTCCTCCTCCTCCTCCTCCTCCTCCTCCTCCTCTCCCTCCCCCTCCCCTTCCCCCTCCCCATCCCTCTCCCCCTCCCCCGAGCTAGCCCTGACCCGAGTTACCCCTGATGATGTGGGGCTCTGGACGCCCGAATTCTCCGGGGCAACTCGGGCCCGGGGGAAGTCGGGCTCGGATTCCCGAAAAACGAACCCGAGTTAGCCCTGACCCGAGTTACCCCTGATGATTTTGGGGCTCTGGACGCCCGAGTTATCCGGGGCAACTCGGGCCCGGGGGAACTCGGGCTCGGATTCCCGAAAAACGAACCCGAGTTAGCCCTGACCCGAGTTACCCCTGATGATTCGGGGCTCTGACCAGGGGCCGTGGGGCCGTTCGACCGTTCCCCCCTCCCGGGCGCGCGGGGGCCCGGGGTGCCCCGCCGGCGGCGCGGGGGTGCCCCGCCGGTGGCGCGGGGGTGCCCCGTCGGCGGCGCGATAGCGAGATCGATAGTGGGCTCGATGGTGAGATCGATAGCGAGATCGATAGTGGGATCGACAGTGGGATGAGTCGATCGTGGAATCGAGACTGACATCTGTGGTGAGATCGATCGTGAGATCGATCGTGAGACCGATGCTGAAATCGACCGTGGTGCCGGCTGCCCCGCAAGTGGTGCGGGGGTGCCCCATCGGTGGTGCGGGGGTGCCTCGTCGGTGTCGGAGGGTGTCGCGCGTCAGTGAGATCGAGTGAGACCGATGATGAGATCGATAATGAAGTCAATGGGGAGATCGATCGTGGTATCTGTGGTGAGATCGATTGTGAGATCGATGATGCGATCGATCGTGATACCGACTGTGAGATCGATAGTGAGATCGATCGTGAGACCGATTCTGAAGCAGATGACGGGATCGATAATGATACCGACGTGAGTTCGATAGGGAGATCGAAAGTGGTACCCATAGAATGAGTAATAGAGAAACAGAGAGCTCGATGATGATATCGATAGTAATGCCGACAGGGAGATCGATGGTGGGATCTCGTGTGAGGTCGTTTGTGAGACCGATTGTGAGATATGTGTTTCCACCGTGGGAGCGATACGAGGTCGACAGTAACGTCGAGGCCGCTCGAGCGAGCAACCCGGGCATTGCAATCGACGCGGCGAAGGAGATCATTGCTGCCGCAGCTGAGTGGCTCTAGATACCTTGCCGCACAATCAGCTCCACAGCCGTCCGCGCGTGGCGCGTGCCTGTCCGCAAGAGCGTGCCCCCACGCCGCCAGGCTCTGCCAGCGGGCTCCATACAGGGCAGTTTTTCACACATAGGAGTTTTAAACATATAGGATTCTTAATACATGATTAATGTATAAATCAAATTATTCATGAACTCATCGTTGTTTTTTAAAACTAAATCCCTGCATTTTTAATACATGATCCGCACGCGGAGCGTGTATTCAAAACGGCACTGTACGGTGGTTCGCGGAGGCACGTGCAGCGGTTCAAATATGGCGACGGATCCATAACGACGTTCGTTCAGCTCGCCCCTGCATGCGGCATGAGTGGCCAACAATTCTTTGAGGCTTTGGCCAAGCTTCCACGAGTGCGCGTCGCCTGGCGGACCTTGAAGTGCTCGCAGCGCAACCACGGTAACCACTACATGGAGCAGAATGTGTTGGTCTATGTGATATGTAGTGCCCAGGCACGTGTTGGGTGCATTCAGCACCATGCGCCAGCTCGCTGCATGTGGGACTTTTGTTTCGGCCCTGGAGGGACCAATCGCATCACTCTTACGATAATTCTGAGCGTGGCACCAAGTATGCCCCCCGAACTTCTGAAGCCTTTGTGAGAGTTACCATCCATCAATAGTACCGGCATGCATCTAGCAGGAAGTTGGGGCATAACCTTACTTATCCTATCGATGAGGCTCTGGCAGCTTTTCTTGCCCGACTCAACTGTGGGCAGCAGCAGTCCATTTGCAATAACAAAACAGGTGTTTAAGTGTCCTGCCCACCGATACCGAACAGCTCCCCTTTGCCCTGCAAAGATTCTGGTGGACTCTAGGCCTGGATAAACGATAACGTCGAAATTGCCGACAGCATACATTCTGTCGAGGAAGTGGTCCCCTGAGTTTCGTTGTTCTGCTCGGAGCTTTTCCTAGGTCGGGTCTTTGGGGTGTGCCGTCATTGCCAAACTGTGCATTTGCCAATTTTTTTGGGGTGTATCTTCAGGCTACCGTCGAAAGAGGCACACTTCATAATTTGACCTGTTCCCGTCAAATAGATCACTGGCACGAGCTCATTCCTTGCAACACCTCCCTCACCCCATAATGCACAAATATTGTTTTCGGGTTAGACTGTGCACGCCGAAGTCGAAGGGCCCCGGGCGCGCACGTGAGGACCGAGAACATCGCATATGTCGCCATCTAAGCCGGCCTGAAGAGAGCATAAGCTTCTCTACAGGCGTTCACTCGCGTGTGTCATCGGAGCGTCGGACCTCAAGACGCCAAGAAGGGAATCCGAAGCCGAAGGGGCATCTAGGAGTAGAGGGAGGAGGAGGCGGAGGATGAGGCGGACCAACGATGCGTCAAAGATGCTGCAATACGCCATCCCGTCCCAAAGTCCCCTCCTCATGAACCCCTCTAGCCCTTCCTTTTCACTGTAAGTAGCGCCCCCTTGAAAGACCAGCACTCCATCGAGGCGTCCAGCGATCTTCCCGATGTGAAGAGAACAGCCCACTAGTTGTAGCTAGTGCACAAATTCACATTTCCGGACATGGACTTCGATGAAGTCTCGGGCAAGAGCCCCAGCTTGAAAAAGAACCGCCCTGCATGCGTGTAGCGGTTACATGTGCTTAAGTTTCTGGCATACCAGCATAAATCGCATGCGAAAGCCCAATTTGAAAAAGGAAGCGTCCACCATGCCTGTAACTGCTGCCACGTTTGGAAAAAAGAATGTGTACGGCGCCAAGGCGAGAACCTTCTTGTGAACCCGCCCTCCCCAAACATCCTTACAACTGCTGCGCTGCAAACTTTTAAAACGAATGCGCGCGGTGCTTAGGCAGAAGCTCAATTTTGCAACCGATTCTCCAACAGCCGAAAGAAAGAACACCGTTTTGACAACGAAACCACCTTCACCCGTGTTTATTGCAAACCTCAAGCTTTTGGATGAGAAGGGGTGGGAAAATATCAAGCGAAACGCCTGTCCCGCTCTACCAACACGTCTGGGCGTGCGACGGCGAGGAGCTCTCTGTAACGAAAGTGGGGGGAGGAGAGGAGGAGGCAGAGGAGGGAGGAGGCGGAGTGGGGAGGAAGAGGAGGAGGAGGAGGAGGAGACTGGCCAAGCTACGCTGTTGGAGTTGGTTGCTACATAACCCTTGTGGCCTGGAGCCAGAAACACAACAATTAGCTAAATGTGGCTTGCCAGAGACTCCCTCCATCAAGTCTGGGGATGCGAATATCTTCAATCAGGCCCCGGCACGCACGTCGAACTGGATGGGCAGGCCGCTGCTGAGCACGAACGGTGGCCGTGCTTCTGGCTAACAGGTGCTGCGTTGGGCCAATGAAATACGTGACCACCAGCCTGACTTCAGCTTCCACTCCAACGGGGTCATCCAAGATCAAGTGAGGTTCACCCTTCCCTGTGCTAGTCGTAGGCTCCGATGGAAGTGGAGGAGAAGACTCCTCTGACATCAGGTGTAGGAGGTGCGGATAGGGCTTCCCCGTGGCCCATGAGGGCCAGGTCCTTGGGCGGGTCTGGGGCCCACTTGTGGGCCGCCGCCAAACGCCTCCCACGCCCGAACTAGAAGCCATCACGCATGCCCTCCGCCATACCACAGGCCCAGGTAGGCTCGCCACTGATGCCCAATATGTTATAAACGGATTCGACAGTGGCCCACACAACGCTGGCTCCACCAACTCAGCAGTCTGGTTTCGTTGTTGGGCCGCCGCCCGAGAACGGGACGGCGAACCCACCTTCAAGAAAGTTGAGTCTCACCCTTCCCAAGCTGACATCGGGAGGCGTGTCAGTGAAGATGGCTTTGCTCCTGATGAGGGAGACGACATAGCGTCTGACCTCGGCGCGAAGCTACGGTAGAGGGAAACAAATAGTGAACGCCCCCCCTGCCCCCCAAACTCAAGGTTGCCACGCGCGGGGGAGACTGCGGTCGAGGCGCAACTCGTCAGACCCACCGCCGACTTTGAACACTGGGGGGAAGGGGGAGGCGTTCACAGATGCATGTGGCATGAGTGTTCGCTATCTTTTTGCGAGGCCTCTGTGTGTGGCCGCCGTCGCCGCCCAGCCGCCGCCCGCCGTATGGCTCTGAGCGACGCCCTCACAGCTCTCTGTGTGGCTGCCGTGGCCGCTCCGTCGCCGCCCGCCCCGTGAGCCTGCGGGCGCTCTGGCGGCTGCGTGGCCGCCGTCGCCGCCCCGGTGCCGCCCCGTCGCCGCCCGTCGTCCGAACCTGCTCAGCGGTCTGAAGGATTGCAAAAAAACGAAGGATTGCAAAAAAAAACCTTGAACGAAGGATTGCAAAAAAACCCTTGAACGAAGGATTGCAATCCTTCGTTCGGTTTTTTTTTGCAATCCTTCGGTTATGTGACCGCCGTCGCCGCCCCGTCGCCGCCTCGTCGCCGCCCGCCGTATGGTCACGGTGGGGCTCTCGGAGGTCCGGGCGCAGGAGCGGAGGCGGCCCTCGGACTTCGGGCCCCGACCCTCGCAGAGCGCACGGCGGCCAGGAGGAGGAGGGAGGAGGGGGAGGAGGAGGAGGAGGAGGAGGAGGAGGAGGAGGAGAAGGGGAGGAGGAGGAGGAGGAGGAGAGGAGGAGGAGGAGGGGGAGGAGGAGGAGAGGAGGAGGAGGAGGAGGAGGAGGAGGAGGAGGAGGAGGAGGAGGAGGACGAGGAGGAGGAGGAGGAGGACCCCAGCGCGCCGCCAGGAGACTACAGCAGTCGGGCCGCCGAAGAAGGAACCCTTTTCGTTGGGGAGGGGCTCCGTGTTCCTTTAAGTGTTTCGCGGCTTGCCTCAGGCTTTCCTTGTGTTGTCGATGGGAAATCGAAGTTTGACTTATGGAGAAAAAAAGGGCCTCGTTCCTTATTTAGGGGTCCTTAGGTCAACGCCCCGACTGTAAGGCTGCTGCCCTGGCCGCCCAGCTCACCTCCGCCCATACTCTCCACCCCGCGGAGGGCACCCTCGAATGTTCCGCGCGTCTGTCCTCCCCCACTCGAGCTCTGCCTGAGCGCGAATGGGTTTCGGTCTCCCTGCAAGGGGCGTCATTGGCACACTCATGTATCGCATCACCTCCGCAGCACTCGCGGATTCTGGTGGTGCACTACGTGTGGAGTGTCAGGCTCTACCAAGTTCCTGACCCCGAGCAGGCCTTGTACGAGGACCACCCGTTCAGGCAAGGCGGCGCCCGCCCGTCTTGACAAGGACGAGCGCCCCCCTGAGCGGGCCTCCTGGCCCGACGCGACCACAGGTTAGTGAGCCGTCCCTTCTCCAGGAGAAGGAGGATGAATGAGGACCAAGAGGAGTGGACGGAGGAGGGATGAGGACAAAAGGACAAGGAGGAGGAGGAGGTGGAAGAGGAGGAAAGAGAAAGGAGGAGGAAAGAAGAAGGAAGGAGGATAAAACATGCCGGGGCCTGGTCGCCATCGCCGCGTCGAACTCCGCCCTCCACACGCCCTCGGCCTTGGAGTCGCCCGCGACGTAGAACGCGCGGTCGATGCGGAACTCCTTGGCGAGCGCATCGATCTGGTCCACGAGAATCGGGCAATTCTCGACCACCTGCAAACACAGGAGCAGAGGGAAAAGGAGGAGGAGGAGGAGGAGAAAGAGGAGGAGGAGGAGGAGGAGGAGGAGGAGGAGGAGGAGGAGGAGGAGGAGGAGGAGGAGGGTGGGATACTGAAGACTCAACGGGCCCAACTCCACAGAGGCGCAAAGGTTAATTAGAAGGAGAAGGGACGAGGAGGAGCAGGAGGAATAAGGGTTTTTCCCTCATCTTGCTGCCAAGAACTGGGAGGTCGATTGGTATGCTATCGACCAGGGGCTGTCACAGCTCGTCCGGCTCCTTGACCCCTACACTTCCTGGGAGATTGGTAAGGACGGTGTGAAGAGGGTGGGGCCTTGCGGTTGACACTGTCCCCTGGGCCCCTGCCTCGTCTCTCGTAGGCCCTCTTTAATCCCCATCCTGCGTGTCGTCTTCCTTGCCTCTGCTTGTATCCTGGCGTTCGCACGGCCGTGCGCGCGATCAACTTAGAGACGAAGGAGGCTATGTCCGTCTTCCCCTTTTGTCCTTTCCTCTTCCACGCATGGGTTGCGCACTTGACCACTAAGAAAATGCCGCCCGACCGCCCGAGGAGGAGGAAGAGGAGGAAGAGGAGGAGGAGGACGGGCAGGAGAAGGAGGAGGAGGACTCTGCCTGGTCACGAAGCGATATGCATATGAAAACCTGATCGGACAAGAACGGGAAGCGCCGCTGTAGTCTACTGGGCGTATTGGGCGAAGAAGAAAAGTAAGGCGAGGGCAACGAAGAGTCGATGACGAGGACGACGTGGCGAACGTGAGGATAGCGAGGAGGAGCATGCGGACAACGAGGAGGAAGAACAGCACAAGGACGAGGACGAAGAGAACGAGATGGTGGTGGTGGTGGTGGTGGTACTCAGCATCTGGTCTCGTCTGCATCTAATAGAAAATAATGCAATGACCGCTGTGCGCATAGGGGTATCAACCCCAGTCGTAAAAATTCACGCGGCACTCCCCCCAATGACTGGATATCCAGATCAGGGGACACCATGGATACCGTCAGGGTCGAGAAGCCTAACGCACATCCAGGCACGTGAAATAAGATTAGCACGATCGGGGGGTAGACAATCCGAGTCCCACGAAAGCGCTAAAGAGTGCCGTATTGCAAAGAACGGGGACGTTGCAGGCTTCACTTCACGAACAAACTACAAGCAGATGAGGAGAATGAGGGGGAAAACAGAAAGGAGGCGGGCTCACAAGGTTCTCCGCGAAGCCGAAGCCGACGCAGAATACTAAGTACAGGGGGTACTTGGTACGGCCAAGTCATTGACACCTAGCAACACGAAGACGCCGAAAACAAAGCACAAGCGGTACGTCATGAGACAAGGTCATTGGCACCTAGGAGCACGAAGATGCCGAAGCCACCGCACAGGGAGTACTTGTTATGAGCTCGCACGAGGAGGAATGCGGAGGGCGATGATGACGACGACGACGACAGAGGACAGTAAGAGGCACTTAGAAAAAGACGTTGCTCCTGGCGCCGCGCGGGGTTGCCTTGGGGCCTGTTGGGGGCTTCTTGGGGGCCCCTTAGGTCCTCTTATGGGCTTCTGGAGTCTTCTTGGGCTGTCTGGGCGCGTCGTGGGATTCTCTGGGAGCTTTCTTAGGCCGTCTCGGCGCCGTCTTGGGCCGTCTTGCGGCTTTCTTGAGCCGTTTGGGGGCCTCCTGGGGCGCTCCCGGGAGTCTTGTGGGGCCTTCTTGGTCCTTCTCGGGCCGTCTTGGGGTTCTTGTGAGCTGTCTGGGTGGCTCCTAGAGCGCTATTGGGGGTCTCTTGGGGTCTTCTTGGGGCGCTCTTGGGCGCTCCTGGGCGTTCCAGGGGCTCTCTGGGGCGTCTTTTGGGCCTCCCTTGGGCCGTTGGAAAGCCCTCCCAAAGCGATTCGAACACGACGTCGATTCGGAGTCCCCTCTTGGGCCGATGTTTGGAGGATGTCTTGAGCGAAACGGCTATTTCTCAAACGTCTGCTAGCGTGGTCCCAAAGTGCGCCCCGCATCCCATCATTCATTTCTACCACCAACAAATGGTCCACGCCAAGGGCGCTTCCCGTCATCCGCCTGCGCCTACTGCGGTGCTATGACATGCTTACCTCTGGACGGTCTCAGCCTGGCTGAGCACCTTTGGCCAGTGCCCCAACGCGATGCGTCTGAAATGTTCGCGCCCCGTGGCCGCTGGCGCCACATGCGACGCCCTTCTTCCCGATCGCATATGCTCAGCACACGGCGCGGAACCAAATTTCCAGCCCAGCGTGGAACCGTATTTGATTGGCTATATGAGCCCATCCCCTCGCTACGTGGACCTGCTTACCCAGGGGGGGTCTCATATGGGTGCTTTTACAGTTATGACACCCACCAGGCAGCCATCCAGCACGCTTGGCTACTGCTGGGGGGCCTTTACAAGCTAGACTCTCGTCGAACTGGTGGGCGGAAGCGGACGCAACACATAAGGAAGGGGCGGGGGCTCGGACGGATCTCATGACGGCCCGTCGGGGCCTACCCCACAACCTGTACTCTTGAAAATCAATTGGCGCTCAAGCTCCAGGGCCTCTATGGTGGGCCTGAGGAGTCTCATCCTAACTAGGAATGCGCGGTGCTCTACAGCCTTGCTGGTTTGTCTCGCTGTTTTGCTCGCGCGGTGCTCTGCGGCCGCGAGGGCGGCTAGTTCTTCTGCAACTGTGTTCCCGCACACGAAGGACCGATACTAGCGACTTTACAAAATATCGCGTTCAGTCTGGTGCAATCTTGCCCACAGGATCGCAAACTGATCTCCCCGAGGATCCAGGCCACGGCCGATCTCGAACCACGCGTCGGCGTCTGGCCCCATCGGGTCCTCTGAGGTGCCCGCTGGAGAAGTGTAGGTAGATGCCCTCACAGCCGGCAACGCAGATGGCGTCTCCTACGGAGATCACCAACGCCAGCAAGAGGGCAGCCGACTCGCCTCGCACTACAGGTCCGGCGCTCGCCCTGGATGGGGCCCCAGATTTCGCCGTGCAACTCCATCCCCTGGAGGCCTGGAGGTCGTGAAAATTCAAGGTGGGCACACGTACGCATCGAATGCAAGGGTGGCCGGTGTCCACTCCTCCGCTCGCGTCGCCGTAAATTCATGCCACCCCTCCGCTGCCGTGCCCTAGGCGTCCGCCGCTGACCTTCCCGAGCCCGAACGCGGTCCAGGAAGGCGTGGCACAGGGAGGTGGGGTAGCTGTCCGGGAGCTGGGTATGAGGCCGCGGGCCCAGCAACACTTCAACATGTCCTGTTGTGCCGATCACAGGGTCGGCAGCGTCGTGGACTGGGCAACTTCCCTCGGTGCACTCCCAAGCGCGGTGCCGTCTTCTTCTCTTGACATCAGGGGCACATGCCGTCAGACTCTGCCGCGGTCTGAGCTTGGACGCGTGCCTTGTGCCAGGCGCTGCCAACCCAGCATGATGGCAGCTAGGTGGGCTCCATCCTTCATGTCCACAAGGTAGCTGAGCAACCGGCGGTGGGACCCGTTGTCGATGCCCTGCGCTGTGCCCGAGCCGCCGCGATGCTCGCTGGCCTGCTTCCAGTACCTGTCCATGACGGTCTGGTCGAAGTCCTTGAGCAGTGCCTCTGGCATGTCGACGGAAGCGCCCCCCGTGAGGTCGACGGGGTCAAGCTGCCAGGTGATCTGGTTGGTATCTCGGGGCAGCTGGTGGTAGTTCCCATCTCTTGGCCCGATGAGGTTGCCAGTTCTGCTCCGTCGCAGATTGACAAATAGCTGGCTTTGGTCCTCAGGCGCGGCGCGCCCGCTGCGCTGGCGAGAGCTGGCGGAAATTGTCCACGACCCAGGCCGGCGTGGACTGGATGGTCTTCTGCGTGGGGCCCGCCTGGGACTGGCTGGCGAGCCGCTGCTGGATGGCTCCCCGTGTGAAGCGTCGGGCTGGGCCCCGGCCGAGCCGCGAGCCTTGAGTCTCGAGGCCAAGCAGCGTCGCGAGGCATCTCCCCTGGAGTCGGGGTCCGAGGGCGTCGCCGAGGCGGCGGTGGAAGGCTGCCGCGCGCGATCCGACAACTCAATGGATCTAGCGGCCGTATCCTCCAGCGGCTAGGCCCATCTGTTCGGCGAGGCGACCCGTGACTTCGAAGCGCAGCGTGGCCCTAGCGAGCCTCGCGATCTCGCGGCGAGCCTTCCGCCGACCGCGGGCGGCTCGGGCGAGTCGGACTCTGGCGCCAAGGTCGGCTCCCAGGTAGCTGGCTTGGGCCTTGGCATGGGCTGTGGATCCCTGGCGCCCCAGGCCGCGCGCGACGTAGCAGTGGCAAGCGTCGGTCATGCGCGCGCACAGGGTGGTGCCCTTCTCGGCGACGTCGAGGCCCGTGGTGGGGGGTTCCAGGCAAGTGTCGAGGGGGCGCCGTAGGAGGAGCTGCTGCACCGCTCGACGGGATCCTCGAACGCACTGGGACAGGTCGTCGATCCGGAGGCAGCGGCGGCACTGCGGGCGGGCGACGGCGACCCTCTGCGTGGCGCAGAAAAGGCATGCACGTCGCGAATCCGGTTCCCGAGCGGAGCCCCTGGACCACGGAGCGCGCCGGTTGGAGAGGCAGGGTGAGGCTGCCGCTCTGGGCGAGTGAGCGCTCGCCATCGCTCGGACGTCCATTTCCTGTGCTTTTTTCGGTTTCGTGCGTGGTTTTTTTCGCCAAGTGATCAAGGATGCTCCTCGATGGTCCTCGCCGAAAGAAAAATGCACACGTCCGAGCGATGCCAGGAGCGAGGGGCGATGCACTGGGGGAGCTCGGGCCTCAAGACCTCGGCGGGGAAGGCCAGGTCCAAGACCTCGTTGCCCAGGTCGACCCGCTGGGTCGAGGCGTAAAAGTGGAAAAGGTCCAGGAGGCCCTGGCCTTGCGG